CTTTCTGAGCATTTTTAAAGGACACGTGATTTAAAAACGGAGTTACTTTGATTGACAATTGCGCAGTCATGCAATGCTGCACCAAAATGAAATTTACACCCTTTTTTCCCCACAAATAGAGCTTTATTTCAGTGGCATTTGATTGCCTGTGCATTTTTTTTGTTTGTGCTAGAAACCAAAAAACTTCGACAATTTTGGGAAAAAAATTTTTTTTTAAACTTTTTGCTATTAAACATGTCCAGTAAAAAATTAAAAAAAATCAAATTTAGTCATAAAATTTAGGCCATAATGTATTCCGCTACACGTTTAAAAAAAAAAAAAAAAAATCCCAATACATGTAAATGAATTGGTTTACATGAAAGTCATAACGTTTACAAAATGGCGGTAAATATACTGGAATTTGTTTTTTTTTATTACTAGCAATGGTGGTGATCAGTGACTTATAGCGGGACTGCAGCAGGTATTCTGACACTGGGGGAAAATGACTTGGTATCACTGACATCCACAGTGACACAAATACAGTAATCAGTACTAATAAAAAGCACTGACACTGTATTAATGGCACTGGGCAGGAAGGGGTTAACATCTGGGGTTATCAAACGGTTAACTGTGTACTGTTTTACTATGAGGCTGTTTCACTGTAAACATGCTGCTTTGTATGGCTCTGTGCAGGAGCTGACAGGAGAGAGATCTGTGTTGTTTACACACAGGTGTCCCCCACGGCGGGAGATAATCAGTGATCACCGGGTGCCAACGGGAAATCACCTACCGTGACCAAGTGATTGACAGCTGAGGCTGTGAAAGTATTTCTGCTATAGGGGGGGCACAGCAACTGTTAATATACTTTGTTCCCCGCGCAGTAAACACAACTGAATTTATGTTGCTGCTGCAGCTGTACACACAGTGATCCTAAAGCACAAGATACCTCCAAGTTTGGGAAGCCTCGTTTGCAATAGACCTTTCACAGGTAGTCCATTGATTCCACTGCAGTAAGGCCCCTTTCAGTTTTTCAGGCAGACTTGCTCAGATGGTCCATTGTTCACTATGGACTGGCAGGTGTAAAACAAACTTGTGTCCATTTTACATCCTCCTACATCTAATCCATTCCCCTCTGTCTAGGCGGATTGAATTGAAAGGCAGTCTGTTTATACCCGATCATTCAGAGCAGAGCAGGCTATATCCACATCGCATAAACTGAGTGGACAGAGACTGGTTATCCACCCGCTCTGCTCAGCACGGGACCAGTGGACAGATACCCTGTTGAGCAAAGCAGATTCCACTCCCCGCTATAACAAGCAAAAGTGTATTAGGATACATACTCAAATGTTATCGATACCATGTATAATTTACGTAGACATGCCCATATTTCTGTTAACAGAGAATTAAAGCAGACTTTAAGGGGATGAGATTTCCATAATTTTTCTTGGTTTTAGTTATGTTTGTCTATATTTAGCACTTATTTGTTTTGGGCTGCTGGAGTGCAGAAGTGAGAGATTTGTGCTAGGTATTAAACAATTTGAATTATGTTTAAAGTATGCCTGCTATCTGCTAATATAAAACAACATTCCCAAACTGGAGCTGTAAGGTGTTTAAAGGCTTTGCAAAAACCTTGCTGAACACACAGCTCCTATACAAGCTGAAACCCCTGTGAATCAAATCTGAACTGTAGAATGTTATAAGACACTTGGGCCTCAGCAGTTAGTATTGGAAGTGTTGAGTTGTAAAGGGGCTGTAAAATTGATAATCTCATGTAACGTCTCCACTTGCTGGCTGTCCTACAGCAGCCCCATACATTATGCATTTTTTATTTTCAACCAGCTGGAACAAAGAAAATGCCTTGATTTACTCATCCACAAATTCTATGGGGATAGGGGAATTCCTTCCACCGCAATATTATATTGTCAGTGGGGAGACTACCTAGGGTATGCACGTCCCATGACAGTCTCCTAGGGAAGATGGGGGGGCAGAATTGAAAGCTTTGCATTGGGGGGTAGAGGGAACTTGTTTTTTCAGGTAAACATCCACTTTAAGCAGGGGTGTGGACATTTTTTTTTAAACAACTACTTGTCAAAGGGACTAAAGTGGGATCCCAATCTACTTGTTCTGTATTCTATGCATTAAGGTTAAAAAACAAAAAAGAACTCTTCTGTGTGCAGGGGCACTTGAGGGATCCTTGTATGGAACAGAGTTTATGGAATCACTCAAAGGCAGATACCATCAGTCCAAGAACATGCATGCAACAGCAAAGGGAGGACCCCTTGCAGGACAGCAGCAGCTGAATCGCTGACTGAGGCTTCCAGACTCTGTCCAGCAGAAGAATCACCTTGGCCAACGTCATGTCATGAGTTAGGCCCAGATAGTCCAGCTTCCCAATCAGGATCAGAGCAGATTTCTGGAAATAAAGGATTCACTTGAACTCCTGCAAGGTGCTGATCGTGATCAACATGTCCTCCGAAGCGGAGACTCTGCCATGCTTGGATATCTAGATGGCTTGCTTCTGAGGGCAATCACCCATTGTTTAAGTAAGGCCAAAACTGGAGCAAGTATCTTGGTAAAAATCTAAGGAGCAGAGGCAAGGCCAAAGGGTGGCACCACAAACGGATAATTCTACTCTCCCACTGTGAAGCAGAGGAAACCGCTGGTGTGCCTGGGCCAGATGGGGATGTGCAGATAGACATCAAGGATGCCTACTGATGCAAAAAAAAAAAAAAGTAAAAAAAAATCCCATTGACGAAGGGAGGCCAGCACAGACCAAATTGGCTCATTCTGGAACTTTTGCACGTGCACGAACCAGTTCAGAGCTTTGACATCCAGGATCAGGTGAACCCTTCCTTTCTTGGACCATGAACAGGGTGGAGTAGAAACCCCAAAAGCGTTTTCATGGCCAGAACCTGGACAGTCACTGACACAGCAAGTCTTGAACAGCCCTGTACAATGCCCACAGGCAAGCAGATGCAGACTGGAGGGAAAAAACCCGGTATGGAGGACAGAATTTAAATTCTATTTTGTACCCAACAGGATCAACTGGTCAGAAAATGGACCCACTTGTTGGAAATCAAAGAGATCCATGTGGGCCACAAACTAGCACAGACGACCCCCCACCCTAGACATGCAAAGCTTTCTGTGACATCACCACGTTCCGGCCGGTGGTCTGACACCGCTGGAATTTTAAATGTTTACACTGCCTTTATGCACCTTATCTATACAAGTGCAATACTTTAATAAATTCTTTGGTGGTTTATCGGGTTGCACTATGAAGTTTTCTGTTTTAAACCTTTTCTTGCATGATGTGGAGAGCTGTCTGATGTGATGGATTTGTTCAAGTGAACCTGCAGTTGTCTATTCATCTCCTTGATACCGCTAACTAAGATGTCAGTGTGGGATCCGAACACCATCTACTCATTTGATCTTTTTGATTGGAGATCAAAGTGTCTGGTAAGAGGCTGATTTGTTTTTTTTTTTTTTCTTCTTTTATGTCAAGCATTTGTGGACACCTATGCACTTGTCGTTGGAGGATTTCTTTAGCACACAGCACAGTTATTGGATTTTGGGACTTTACTATATAAATGTGGACCTATATCATTTGAATTAATTTATGCATTTTTTTTATGTAGCAGCATTTATGTGATTGATTATTGTTTATGATAATTTAGTGTACAGCGCACTCACTTTATATATATATTTCTTCTGCATATAGCTACGAATTATAAAGTGTGCGAATTACTAGGAGTCAAGCTGCAAGTTCCTGAAGATCACGTATACGAACTCTAATGGGTGTGTGACTATGGTTGACTCAAGCCTTGCTGGAAATGTATGGTTTTATGGATCTTCTAGCAAGACAGATGTGCAGTATTTAGTTTCTTGATAAATTGCAAAAGCTTTGAACTCCTGCACAGAGCTCCGTACGCATGCAATGGTGGAATGGCCCCAGGGCAACTATGGGAACACATGCTTGTGAGTCTTTATACCATTAGGAAATTAAAGAAACCCTAACTACACTTTCGCATGTATCCTGAGGAGTTTTATTCCACTCTGTTGACAGTGTAATATAGTATAAGCTTCAGAAATTCTAGCTTAGATGCAATTGCTTGTTTGAAAAAAATAAATAAATACAATTAAATCACACCTGCACACATTTTATTGCTACAGTAATTACACAAGGCACTGGCTGTTAATCTCCAAGTAAAAGAGAAGTGATTGAGAGTAAAAAAAAAAAATGTAGTCACAGATTCAGCATCCAATGTTAGCAATGCTGTGAGATTGTCATAAGTCACTCTACAAAATGAGCCCTTTATACTGCACTTGTGGCAATTTGCAGCCGGTAGGAAACCATTTAATATACAAACATTTTTTTTAATGTAATATTTGGTTGTAATGTCCAAACCTGTACTATTTATACCTGAGTGTTAAAGCAGGCATTTTTTATGGATAAAGATTCAGTCACACATACCTCAACAATGAGGTTAAAAACACTAGCTTCTACACAGAAGAAGCTTTAAGACTTATGATGATGAATGCAGTGGTGTTGATTTGTGAGAATGGAGGCGCACCACAGACACAGAGTGACAACAGCAGTAGAGGAGTTGACAAGGGTACGCAATCATCAGTCTATCGTGCAGTGCCCTAGTGCACAGGGTTTGGGGCCTGCAGACAACACACTTCTGAGATGACTGGGAATCAGTGCACTGGAATGAATAAAAAAGAAAAAAAAAAAAAAATGAATAAAATATAAAAATGAATTCAAATTTAATAACCACAGATAAGTATTAAGACAAAAAAAAAGGTACGATATCTAAAATTAGTAAAAAAAAAATAATTCAGTTTGCCAGGACTTTTATTGAGGGATGATAGCAAAAGCTGCTTGCCAATAGTTATAAGTGTGCACATAGGTGTAACATTCTTTCAGATACCAGATATCCCTTTAGAACAGACAGCCTCCAGAACATTATTAATTATCTGAAAACTACTGAAAATTTGACAAAACTATTTCCACCCAAGAATTACAAAAATATAACAAGGTCTTTACTGCGAGCTCTGGAGAAAGCTGCCAAGATGCTTGCGAACACCACATCTGGAGACTGTGCGGCATCTACTGCTGTATGGATCCCATGGCGTTGGTAATAGTCGACAAGTGGTGCAGTCATAGTGTGATAGGCCTCCAGCCTGGACTTCAGGGTAGCTTCATTATCATCAGAACGTTTCACCAAAGGCTCACCAGTCACCTGTAAAGCAGTTAGTCTCTATAAATGAGAAGCCCTGGTAACTGCCATGCACAATCTTCTGAATGGGAAAAAAAAATAAAAAATCACCGAGGCAGAAGCCTCGGACAATAGGTGCCCAGCAAAGGCCACAAACACATTAAAGTGTTACAAAACTCAGGACCCTGCATGCACTATATCTGGACTACCAAAATACACAGAAAATGGAAATGCTATTATTTTAGTAAATATAAACTGCTAAATACCTTTTCTCATTAGCAGTTACAGCAGCTTGTGACTTCTATGTCCAGCCCAGAGCTAGCTAAAGCTTGTAGGAGTTTTCTTTCTGCTCTAGGAGGATGCAGAACCCCTGACCTCTGTGGCCAGTGCGGATTGGCCCTGTGCTGATCACATGCACCACGGGCTGAACAACAAAACAAAAAAAAAAACCCCAAACATTTCCCATGTGCCCACCATTAGAAGTGGGTGGATGCAGGGCGGTATATTCCAATGGTGGGCATACCACACGCTTTTTCTGGCAGAGATTTCTTCTCATTCAGCCCACAGGCTGTAAAAAAAAAAAAAAAAAAAAAAAAAAAAAAAAACGAACAACATAGCTTATACACCCAACAAGGACCAGCAACGTACTGGTACATCACTGGATTTTGAGTGGGTATACCAGGATGATGCCTGCAGCTTACAAGCAGCGGGAGAAGATGTTCCCCCTCCACGGCCTTTTCGGGCAGTCCCGTGCCATCGGGAAAAACCTGAGAATGCAGCCAGTGTTTCTGCCAGATGACCATAGAGTTGATTGGAGACCGGAACGGCGCCAATCATCTCTACACACCGGAAACCGGAAGCTACGAGCATTATAATCACTTCAGTTTCACAGGATATACAGCGCCATTTGTAAATTGGGAAAGCATCTGATCATACCGATCTTTGTGATATTAGATAACGTAAGGGCAGAGGAGATATCTAGAGTCTGATAGACCTCATATTAAAAAAGAAAAAAAAATAAAATATGAAAATGCCCATTGAAGTTATAGGGGATATTTGCATTCCCTGTGATAGCATTAAAAGTGATAAAAAAAAAAAACTATATATGAAAAATGAAAAAAAAAAAAAAAAAAAAAAAGGGACAGTATAAAAAATGAAAAAAACAAACAAAAAAAAAACCCTTGCAGCCCCCCCCCCCGGCGTTGACCTTGTGCCAGTATGTAAATAGCGGTTGCACCATGCATGTGAGGCATCGCCGTGAACGTCAGATCAAGTAGTAATTCTAGCACTAGACCTCCTTTGTAAATCTAAAATTGTAGCTTGTAAAGACTTTAAAGCGTTGCCTATGGATATTAAAAAAGGTATGCAGTTTGTCACCATTGCATGGGGCATGCGCAGTTTTAAAGCATGTCATGTTTAGTATCCATTTACTCGGCATACCATCATCTTTTGCATTTTACCAAATTGGCCAATATATTGTGTTTTTGTGCATTAAAAGTAAATAAAAAAAAAAAAGAAAAGTTTTTTTTTTTTTTTTTAAATTTGCGTTTGAAAAACATCGCTGCCTGAGTACTATGTGACATAGAAAAATTGCAGCACCCATCATTTTATTCACTAGGGTGTCGAATTTAAAAAAAAAAACAAAAAAAAAAAAAAAAAAAAAACGTTGTTTGGGGGTTCAAAATAATTTCCTAGCAAAACATACTGATTTTTTTTCATGTGAACAAAAAGTGTTGAGTTTTTTGGAAACTGACAAAAGTTTTTCCCCTCCCACACAAAAAATTGTCAATGAAATGATTTATTGCTCACACATGGCTTCTCCCAAGTATGCAGATACAACATATGACACTTTTTGGCAGTCTAGCCGTGTACAGGACCCCAAAATCCAATAAAGCCCTTTAAAAGCATGAAGGTGCTTATTTCCTCATTACACTTCCTACCTATCTCAGTTTCGGAGGCCCTGAAATGCCAGAATAGCATCAAACTCCCCCACAAATGACCCCTTTTTGGAAAGTAGATACCCCAAGGAATTTGATAAGAAGCATGGTGAGTATTTTGCAGATCTCATTTGTTGCCACACATTTTTGGAAAATGAAAGAAAAACAAAAAATTTTTTTCTTTTCTTTTTTTTATATTTCAAAACCTTGTGAGAAAAAAAAATGAGATCTGCAAAATACTCCCCATACCTCTTTTTAAATTTCTAGGGGTGACTACTTTCCAAAAAGGGGTCATTTGGTTCTATCCTGGCATTTCAGGGCCTCCAAAACTGTGACAGGTAGTGAGGAAGTGAAGTGAGGAAGTTACGCACCTTCAAACTTTCAAAGTGGTCATTGGATTATAGGCTCCTGTATGTGGCTAGGCTCCAAAAAGTCTCACACATGTGATATCCCCATACTCGGTAGAAGTAGCAGAATGTATTTTGGGGTGTAATTCCACATATACCCATGGCTTGTGTGAGCAATATATCCTTTAAGTGACAACTGTGTAAAAAAAAAACAAAAAAATTATGTGTTTGTCTTTTTATTTGGGGGGGAAAATATTCCATGGACTCAATATGCCCCTGAGCAGATAGCTTAGGGTGTCTAATTTACGAAAAAGGGGTCATCTGGGGGTGTTTGTACTGTCATTTGGAATTTTTAATTTTTTTTTTTTAAAAACACAAAGCTGCCACATAAATGATAGACACAAGCGATGGGTATATATGGAATTACACCTCAAAATACGTTCTGCTACTTCTACCGAGTATGGGGATGCCACGTGACTTTTTTTCAGGAGCCTAGCCGCATACAGGAGCCCAAAATCCCATGATCCCTTTGAAAACCTAAAGGTGTGTAATTTTTTAATTTCACTTCCTCACTACATATCAGTTTCAGAGACCCTTAATTGCCAATGACCCCTTTTTTGGAAAGTAGACACCTCAAGGAATTTAATAAGAGGTATGGAGAGTATTTTGCAAGTCTCGTTTTCTGTCAAAAGGGTTTGGAAAAGAAAAAAAAAACAAAAAACAAAAAAAACACATTTTCGTTTTCCAAAAACTTGTGGCAACAAACGAGAGATCTGCAAAATACTCACCATGCCTCTTAGCAAATACATTGTCTACTTCTCCAAAAAGGGGGTCATTTGAGGGGGGTCTGTACTATTCTGGCATTTCAGGGCCTTTGAAACTCTCTGATAGGTAGTCAGGAAGTGTAATGAAGAAATAAATCCCTTTAAATCCTAAAAGGTGCTTGTTGGATTTTGGGGTCTTGTATGTGGCTAGACTGCCAAAAAGTCTCAGCTGGTATCCCCATACTTATGAGAAGTAGCAGAATGTATTATGGGATGTAATTCAACATATATCCATGGCATGTGTGAGCAATATATCATTTAAGTGACAACTTTGTTAAAAAAAAAAAAAAAAAAAAAAAAAAAGTAAAAATATTTTGGCAAACCAAAAAACTTGTGGTAAAAAATAAATTATTCCATTGACTCAACATGCCCCTTAGCAAATAGTTTGGGGGGGTCATGGGGGGAGGGGTTGTGCTCTTCTGGTATTTTATGCCCAACATTAGAAGCTTCTGCAACACATCACCCACTTGAAGACCAAGCCTTTGACACATTTTGTTCACATGGGGGAAAAAAAATAAAAAATAAAAATCAGTATTATTGCTAGAAAATTTACCTTGGCCCCCCCAAACATTATATATATTTTTTTTAAAGCAGAAGCCCAAGGGAATATAAAAAAAAGCAACGCCCACCATTTTGTTACACAGTACTAGTGCAGTGATTTTTCAAATGCACATTTTCTGGAAAATATACACTGTTAAATTTTAATGCACAAAACCACAATATATTGGACAAATGTTGATGTTATGCCAAGTAGATACCAAACATGGCATGCATTAAAACTGTGCATGCTCTGTGCAACAGCGGCAAACTACATATATTTTTAACCACTTGCCCTCCAGAGGATTTACCCCCCTTCCTGGCCAGGCTATTTTTTGTGTTACGGTACTGCGTTATTTTAACTGACAATTGCGCGGTCATGCAACGTTGCACCCAACTGAAAATTTACATCCTTTTTTTTTTCCCCCCACGAACTGAGCTCTCTTTTGGTGATATTTGATCACCTGTGTATTTTTTATTTTTTTGTGCTATAAAAAAGAAAAAAAAAAAAAAAAAAACAAAAAACAAAAAAAAAAAAAGCCGACAATTTTGAGGAAAAAAAAAAAAAAAAAAAAAAACACTAAAATTTGACTTTTTGCTATTAAGCATGTCCAGTACAAAAATGAAAAAAATTCAAACTTGGTCATAAATTTAGGCCAAAATTTATTCCGCTACATGTCGTTGCTAAAAAAAAAATCCCAATAAGTGTAAAATAATTGGTTTACGTGAAAGTTAGTGTTTACAAATGGCGGTATAGATAATAGAAATTTTTTTTTTGTTGGTACCAATAATGGCGGCGATCAGCGACTTATAGTGGGATTGCGGTGGGCATCCTGACACTGGGGGAACTGTCTTGGTGTCATTGACATCCACAGTGACACCAATACAGTGATCAGTGCACAAAAAACACTGACACTGTACTAATAGCACTGGGCGCACAGCCATCCAGAGCAGCGTGACTGAGCCGACGAAGGACTGTTCGTAAACAAAGCAGCCCTGCTCCCAGTTGGAGATCCTCGGTAATCTCAGCTGGGTAATCACCAGCCGGGACCCATTGATTGATAGCTGCGGTCGCGAAAGACGGCGTGGGTAGGGCTCGTGCACACCCCTTACCCAGAAATGCAAAATCACACACATGATTTTGCGCACCCCTGTAGCAGTATATCTGCTATAGTGCAGCGGGAGATGGTTAATATCTATAAGCAGCACTTCAAAAGCCTTTACAAGCTACCACTTTAGGTTTACACAGGAGGTCTAGAATTAGTTCCCTCAATTGGACATTCGCAGTGATACCTCACACGCATGGTACAATTGGTGTTTACCTACTGACATGGGACTGCCACTTGCGTTCATCTTTGCGCGCAAGCACGGGGGCGTGTTACTTTGGATTTTTTCTTCTTCTTAATTTTCACACAGTCCCTTTCAGAGCCAATTGAAATAAATATACAGACAGTTTCCCTTAAAGCCAGATGCTGGTACAAAAAAGTACAAATTTATCATCTGGTCATTGAAGTCCACCCTTCCTATGTTAAGGTTATAGTCGTGGATGCAGAGGAGCTTTGCATTGTTGTGTCTGCGTGAATGGAAGACTGGACGAAAACATCCCGTTTGTCCTTCCACTTCACTGCAAGCAATTCATTTTTCATCTGCAAATTTCTGGTTAAGGCGATTTATGAGGGGCCAAATTTTGTGGAGCCGATCATATTCAGGGTCACTGAGGACAGCAAGTGTACGGTCATTGAAATGCATAAATCGCATTATATTCTCATATCTATGCCTGGCCATGACAGCAGAAAACACGGCATATGATGAAATCGGGTCTGTGAACCAATATGACCGCGACTCTTTTTAGTAATGTCCATGTTGAGCGTTAGGCCCCCCAAAAAATGTTAAACTTGGAAACTGTAATAGGTTTCCATGCATATTGTCTGGCAAGGTATGAATACGGGTTGGTGGCGATAAATTGTTGTGTATAAAATGCTTTGGTCCACAATCAATCCACACAGATCTTCTGTGACAGAAAAAATAAATAAATAAATAAAAAAGCAGTCAATATTGCGGTTTTCACTTGAGTTCCAGTTAGGCAATGAATGAGGAAGTACAGGTGCTTCAGAATTTGTGGGCTGCCAATCAGGATTTGCAAGCACATCCGGAAGGACACTATGGGCTCCATGGTCCTGTGTTCGAATTCTTGGTGGCTGCGGGACAATACTTGTGTTAGCCACTGCACTAGCTTGTATGGCACCTATGGGACTTACCATGTCGCCAAGTGATACTGCATTGCTGGTATGTAAAATACCAGGATGTACTAGGCCACTGGTGTGGTTCTTGTGTGCTCCTATCAAAGTGCAGAAAGCATGACTTCTAACTGATGTGTAAAGACTGGCAAAATGTTTATTGCGATGCACTGTAAACTTACGTCATCTTTCATGTGTACTTTAGGAGGATTGAACTCTTCATGGTATGATCGTCCACTTGTCGGGTGTATCAACCTACAGCAAAAGATAAGGATGGAGTTGACAAAACCATGACAACACAAAACTAAAAACACCACAAAAGGCTGCCGTTACCTGCCACAGATCCTTCTTACAAGCAAAGAATCGTCTACACTAAATTCGATGACTGAATCAAGTTTTTCTTGACGCTTTTCAAGAAGTTCATCAAGCTAAAAACGCAAGAATGAGATATTACAACATAGGAAAGATACAGCTTTATATGCTGCTCTACCTGTAAACCTATTAAAGCTGAACTTTAGGCAGATATAAAAAGACATTTTATCGTTAATACATCATTAACTTTAATACAAACAGCATTTGGTATTTGAAATTCACCTCTTATAAGCCTCTTGCTGCGCCTGTACTGGATTGGATTGTGAGAGAGGAAGTAGTTAAAGTAGCCAATTTGTTCATGTGCTGACAAGCAAGCCACTAGGAATTAAATTGACAAAGATGAGCTCATCACTGCTTTTTCTAAACTTCCCTGTCCAGTCACAGAGTAAAGGTTGGCAAGACAATCTGGGCTCAGAGGTAGTGGTTAAATAGTGTTGGCCATTGGATTGAGGACAACCAGTGCAAGAATAAAGTACTGTGGGGAAAATCTTTGGAATGAAGGCAAGCAAGGCTGGTTTTATTTATGTTTTCTTCTTTTACTGGGATATACACTTCTTCTATCTTGTTTTCTTTGGCTGGAGTTGTTCGTAAAATATTGCGCTTACTATTTAAATGAAAGAGGAACAGTGAGATGTCAGTTGGTCTCTACTTAGCCAAAATAGTTGTTTCTTAAGTGACTGTCACCCAATTACAGAACGATTTTTAAACAGGTTGGAAAATCTGTGTGTAATATTGAACTGAAGAGTCTTGTCTTACAGTCAGTTGATCATGTCGACTGCGCTTATCTTATCGGAAAAGGTTTCACGGAAACCATATATGCGGTTATAATCTCTGATACTGTAACTTGCGGCAAGGCAAATAAATTGTCAACTCTGGTCACAGAGGAACAAACTAAGTAGGCAACAATTTGTCCTCTTTAAAGCTCAGTAAGCTCTGACATGACCATTAATAGCAGCACACGTAGCGAATGATGAAAGTGAGGTTTCCCACCCGTTAGCTAGGTGTCTCATCACACGTTACATCACCTCCGCTTGCAACGTGAAACATGTCACTTCAGACCTGCAAATCGTGTAGCGTTTCAATTTTTGTCCGATCCTTGTATAAGCAAAACCTCACACCCCAGTTTTGGATAGACTAAGGAAGTTTATAACTGTAGCAATTGTGCACACTGAGATGGATGCGGTCATCCATCTTGTTCAGAATCTTCCATTTTGTATCATTCCTACTCCCAAATCAGCTTTCCTCATCCCCCCTCCCTCTCTGTTGAGTGACATGTGGTCTGTTTGATGCAGATCACAGGCAGCAAACTCAGTGGGAGGGCATCATGGTTATAAATCCCACAACTAGCTGGTGCCCCCCTGTCTGAGACCCTTGCTGGAGAATGGGTTATAAAGCCATAAACTGAGCCCTCACAGAGCTTCAAAAGGACATTCTAGGGAGTCGTAAAAACAGACTTACATTTAAAAACTCACTTTTCCATATAATTTTACATCTTCAAATAGGACAATTACATAAACATGGAGCACATATTCGGACGGCTCACTTTAAGACAGGTCGTCTGGTATATTACACCCCCTAGCTGGCATATATACTGGAGAGCAGAAAATTAGATCTCCTTAAACCAGCCAAGCAGATATGTCATATTTCATATCTAACTGTTCAGCAGATGCATCTGCATAATACTCTACTAGTGGCCAGGCTGCTAAATGCACCGAGAATAAGTTCTGAACCATGACATCAAATGCGAGGGTTTTTGGTCAAAGCTTGGGTCTCCGCCTGCAACACCCGCCCAAATGAGGCGATTGGTTCCCTGCTTCAGGGAGACACCCTGTGGAGTTTCCTATAAAAAAAAAACTAAGCTAAGCTGAAGAATCTCCCTTTTTAAGATCGGAACTAACTTTGGAATATAAGACCCTTTTGGCTCATGAAACCTGATCTGCTTAACCTAAGGCTGACGGCAAGTACTTTATCCCTCTAAACTTGTTATCGCTTTGCTGTGCTATTGTTGTTTTCTATAGAATATATATATACACATATATACATACACACACACATATAGGCTACATCTTTTTCTGCAAGTATTTTTATTGCACTCTTTTGACCTTTTAGTAATAAATCTTACTTTCTGAAAGTGTTGAACTGTTTCTAAAGCGCTTTAATGCAAATTAAGCACCCCTGCCTCTGAAGAGCACTACTGTGTGTGTTTTAAACTTCAGTATATTGCTGCCTGCGGTGACAGTGGTATACCGACGATTATTCAAACATCAGTGTTATTGCTGATATTGCCGAGTTTCCTCTTTCTCTGTACAAAAAGGAGATGGTGGGCAGTGTGAAGGGTTACTTGCATAATTAACCTGACCCAGTAACAATCGCTCCCAGGCTGCCAGAACACCGGTTGTGGTCCATTAGCTGGAAAATCTTTGTGTAGGGTACAGCTGGGCGTGGCATTGTTACGCATCTGACAGCGCGGTTTTAGATTGGCTAGTCCTTCGGTCACGAGTTTGGCGAGAAGGGCTGGGGTCTGACGCCACGATCGTCACAATAACCAGTCAGGTTTTATTTTGTATGCCAACTGTTTCCACCACTTTCTGTCTCGCAGCCAAAACAGAAAGCAAGATGAAAAATTAAGGGAATATGTTGGAGCCCTCCAGGTCAACAGTAGGGTCTCCATTGGAAGATTTCCCCTCTATTACTTTTCTCAGGGCAACCCAAAAATGTGGGATTTTCTTTTACTTTCACTTTCAAAGATAAACAGGACAAATGGAGAGGGTGAATCTCCCTAACAGGGTTACAGACTGCAATAAATATCAAATAGGTGTTATATCTCCTAGATTGTAAGCTCGAAAGAGCAGGGCCCTTGATCCCCTCATGTTTTGCATTGTATTGGTATTGTTCTGTCACATGTTCTGTCCCCCTTTGTAATGTACAGCGCTGAGCGAACTATTGGCGCTTTATAAATACTGTATAATAATAATAATAATAATAACCCATCCCCACTATCCAAAACAGGAAGGAAAAAAGATAAAAATTCCTGCTGTTACTTACTGTAAGCAGGCAAGCTCTTTATTGCAGAAGAGACATGCAATATCTCATCTGCAATAAAATACGCGTACCTGCTAGCTCTCAGGCATGTAAATCAAGCTGTGCATGGGCAGCTCAGCTTACAGCGCCAACACAATCCCTATGTGCTGTGATGACTGGCTCCTGCGCATATGCAGGAGTGACATCCTGCCCTGGCTAATGAAGATGATCGAAAACTGGCATACAAAAGATGTCAGAGCTCGTAAAAATCAGAGAGGTTGGAGGAAAGGAAAGTATTGATCCCTTTTGCTCCACTTTTAATTCCTCCATAGTCCATTAGTATCCAATTGTTGCAAGAAAAGCTGAAACCTCTTGCTTGTACCTGGAGTAGGTTTTGTGGTAAATCTAAGATCTGACCACTTCAAAAATTAGATAAAAACATTAGTTTTAAAAACTTCATTTCAGAGAAAATGACATGTCAAAATGGCTAGTGGGTTCAGAGATTTAGGCTGCTGAATGCATATGGAAATCTTCTCATTTTCAGTGAAAGGTAAAAACAAGAAGGAACACTGAAAACACATCAGATCTCAATGGGGAAACACTTTAAAGTATATCAAAACTCAAGAACAAGTCCATCAGTGCCTATATGTGCTGGCTGTATTCATTTTTTTTTCTGGCTTTTTTTTTTTACCTGGGTATCCTGCTAGAGAATGCAGCTGCTCCTCTCAGTTAAATAAAGATTTTTTTTTTACTTTCTGAAAGTCTTTATTTTGTTACCCGAGGCACAACCCCAAAGGGCACTGCTTGGAAAGTGGCTGATCAGGCAATAAGGGGTGAAGATAGGAGATACCCCTCACTCCCAATACTGTGGAACTAGCAAATGGTACTATATGGGAGCAAATTATATAATAGTGCTTTTAACTTATTTAAAAAGCCTGATAGAAACAAGTGAGAATAGTAAAAGGTATATCACAAAGAGAAAAGACCAGCTATGATATACCACTGTAGACTACACTGCTCCAAAAAAGTTAAGGAACACTTTGAAAACACATCAGATCTCAATGGGGAAAAATCTCATGCTGGATATCTATACTGATATGGACTGGGTAATGTGTTAGGAACTCAAGGATGCCCCATCGTTTGATTGAAATTAAAATTATCAACCTACAGAGGACTAAATTCAAAGACACCCCAGAAATCAAAGCAAAAAAAAAATGATGCAGCAGGCCAGTTCATTTTGCTGAAATTTCATTGCATATCAAAATGGTACTCAGTAGTTGTATGGCTCCCACTTGCCTGTATGCATGCCTGACAACGTTGGGGCATGCTCCTAATGGGACGATGGATGGTGTCCTGGGGTATTTCCTCCCAGATCTGAACCAGGGCATCACTGAGCTCCTGGACAGTCTGAGGTGCAAATTGGCGGCGTCGGATGGACTGAAACAGGACATCCCAGAGGTGGTCTATTGGATTTAGGTCAGGCGAGCGTGGGGGCCATTCAGTGGTATCAATTCCTTTATCCTATAGAAACTGACTGAATACTCTCGCCCCATGAGGTCGGGCATTGTCGTACACCAGGAGGAACCCAGGACCCACTGCACCAGCATAGGGTCTGACAATGGGTCCAAAGATTTCATCTTGATACCTAATGGCAGTCAGGTTTCCATTGTCTAGCGTGTAGAAGTCTGTGCATCCCTCCATGGATATGCATCCCAAGACCATCACTGACCCACCACCAAAACAGTCATGCTGAACGATGTTACAGGCAGCATAACATTTTCCACGGCTTCTCCAGACCCTTTCATGTCTGTCACACGTGCACAGGTTGCCAGTGGTGGACCTGCCAATTCTGGTGTTCAATGGCAAATGCCAATCAAGCTCTATGGTGCTGGGTAGTGAGAACAGGGCCCACTAGAGGATGTCGGGCATTCAGGCCACCCTCATGAAGTCTGTTTCTGATTGTTTGGTCAGAGACATTCACAACAGTGGCCTGCTGGAGGTCATTTGGTAGGGCTCTGGCAGTGCTTATCCTGTTTCTCCTTGAACAAAAGAGCAGATACCGTTCCTGCTGATGGGTTAAGGGCCTTCTACGGCCCTGTCCAGCTCTCCCAAGCATAAAAGCATGTCTCCTGTAATCTCCTCCATGCTCTTCTGGCAATGGCATGTATTGATGTGCCATCCTGGAGGAGTTGGACTGCCTGTGCAACCTCTGTAGGGTCCAGGTATCGCCTCATGCTACCAGTAGTGACACTGACCCTAGCCAAATGCAAAACTAGTGAAAAAGTCAGAAAAGATGAGTACGGAAAAAAAAAAAAAAATGTCAGTGGCATCCACCTGTAAAACCTTTCTTGTTTCAGGATTGTTAAGGGCTCCTGGACCCCCTTTACTTTGTCCTGCGACCTCCAAGTGCTGTTTCCTCTTATGTCTAGGTACCTTAGGGGTCGCTTCATTGTTGTGCATCTTGTGCACCTGTTAATTTCATTAACACCAACGCAGCTGCTGAAACAGATTAACAACCCCCTCTGCTACTTAATTGACCCGATCAATATCCCAGGAGTTTAATCAACTTGATACTATACTCTGGTTAAAAAGTGTTCCTTTAATTTTTTGAGCAGTGTATCTCATGAAAGCTTGCTGCCTGCAAACAGTGATTCCTGTACGGAATGTGCTTCCTAAAACTCCTGCTCAGCACCTCTGTAGTTCAGAAGGCAGGCTCTGTAAGGCTCCATGCACACTAGCGGTTTTTAGAAGGCCAAAACAGGCGATCAAAAAAAAAAAAAAGCTGGATGAAAAAACTCACTATATTATCATTATTACAAATGTATGTTTATATATATAGGTCATTTTGGATTTTTGTTTTAGTTTGTTTCATATTTTATTACTTTGGTGTTACATACAAAATGTGCTTGGAGTTGTTGTGGGACCATTGTGCAAATTCTCATATTCAAAGCAAAATGTTTGCAGAATGAGCGGTCAATATCAGTCTTCATGCTTTTTTTCAGGAAAAGTTTTCTTTAAGAAACAATTATGCATCAAAGTTATGCATTAAGTCACCATTATCAGTAATCTAGGAGTTCTGCTTGTTTCATTCAGCAGGAGTTACCATTTCTGCTTGCTTGACAGTACGAGGAAATCCATCTAACAGGAATCCCTTCTTACATGGAGGGGTATCCAGGTTCTTTTCAATCAGTTCTACAACCATTTCATCACTGACCTAAAGACAGAACAAAGCAATTACAGGTTAGCAAACAATGTTACAGAAATGTGAATTTTAGCAGAAGACAAACACCAACCAGTTTTCCTGCATCCATTGTAGCTTTCAGACGTTTTCCCAGCTCTGATCCTGATGCAACCATAGCTCTTAACATATCTCCTGTGGCAAGGTGACAAACGCAATATTTTTCTGCTAGTTTCGGGGCCTGAAATAAATAGAAGAAAGATCTTAAATGAAGGTGCATCTAAAACAATGTTTCACACCTTACAATATAAACATGACTGAATACATTTTTTCTATCAACGAGGTGTGAAATCCTAACTAGACAATTTGCTGGCAAAGTACTTATTTACTTACTAGCAAAACACAATAGCCAGAGTGTACTATGCCATCTGTAAGCCCAATGGACATCCCTAACCCCATCCCCACCATGAGAAACATCAGTGAATTTCAAGGATCCTTACATTCTCCAAGAAATTCTATGGAATAATAATTTTGATCTGAACGAGTCCCACTTTCCAGAGTGCAGAACTGCAACTTTAGGGCCCATTCAAATCTATGCATTTTAAAGAAAGTCAATGCATGAACACAGGATAGCCATTATTTTACATGGTACCAAGTTACATCTGTGTGATGGGTTTGCATGTGTTGCAAGGCCCATTGGTGGCAATGGTAGTGCATGAAAACACAAAATCACAAAGTGTGAACCTAGCATTAAAGAGAGACTGGCTCATGTTCTATTTCCACAGGTCTTTAACTGCTTTCCGACCGCCCTATAGCAGAAGTACTGCTACAAGGCAGCAGGAATGTGCAAGAGCATGTATATACACATGATTCTGCATTACCAGGTAGGGGAACTATTGGTTCCTCGGCATGTCAATCACTGGGTCCCAGCGATTCTCGGCCGGGACTCTGACCGTCAGCGGAGCTGACAGGGCAGAGGTCTGTATGTAAAACAAAGACCTCTCCACTTTCAGGACGAACAGGCTGCTTTGTATTGCTCTGCACAGCAGAGCAATACAATGCAGCTTGTCTACATAGTTAAACACAACACAGCACACTGTTAACCTTTTGATCGCCCCAGATGTTAACCCTTTCCTGCCCAGTTTCATTAGTACAGTGTCAGTGCTTTTTATTAGCACTGATCACTGTATTAGTGTCACTGGGGATTTCAGTAGCAGTTAGTTCCCCCCCCCGTGCCAGAATGCCCATCAGTCCTGACGCTATATCTTTCACCTAAACCAATTCATTTACACATATTGGGTTTTTTTTTTTCCCTAAACTCTCTGATCACCGCCATTACTAGTATAATAAAAATAAAATTTCCAGTATATATACCACCATTTCTAGACGCTATAACTTTCATGTAAACCAATTTACATGTATTGGGATTTTTTTTCTTAGCAAAGACATGTAACAGAATACATTTTGGCCTAAATTTATGAAGAAATGTTATTTTTACATTTTATTTCACTGGATATGTTTTATAGCAAAAAGTAATAAATACTGTTTTTATTTTCAAAATGGTTGGTAGTTTTTGTTCATAACGCAAAACAATAAAAAAAAAAAAAAAAATTGTGGGGAAAAGGACAAATTTAATTTAACTGACAATTTATGTCAGTTAAAGTAATAGCGCCATATCGCAAAAAGATGGCCTGGTCAAAAAGGGGGAGGGGGAGGAATTAGGGGTAAATCCTCTGGAGGACAAGCGGCTGAGTAATTACATAATTCACGTGGATTACACACAAGGTCTGCTATAAACAATTACTGGACAAACTTATCGCTCAATCTTCCTTACAGCTTTAGTGAGCTAACTTACCTGTATATTATTATACATATTTATATAAGCGCCAATAGTTCGCTCAGCGCTGTACATTACAGAGGGGGACAGAACATGTGACAGAACAATACCAATACAATGCAAAACATCAGGGATTCGAGGGCCCTGCTCAGCAGGTACCACATTGTGCAGCAGACTGGATCCTGAGGAAATCTGCACAGGTCCTCTCCCCTGAGATGAACTTACAGCACTGCAAGCGGTAATAGTTTTGAGTCTTCTGTGAAGCTGCAGTGAACAAGCTCCTGACAGGGACTCACACCCTCCTTCCTCGGGAAAAGTTATTTCATAATGTACACTGAATGTAACACAATCTGCCAAGGAGGAAGAGGACTAATCAAACTCTTCCCCTATTCAGACTGTAGTGTACACAATGAAACAACTTTTCCCAATAGTGGAGAAGGGGCGGGTCTTTGTCAGGAGCTTGTTCACTGCAGTTTCACAGAAGACTTTGCTATTAACCATCACAGCACTGAAGTTCAGCAGCAGGAAGAGGACTTGGCATCCCTTCACAAGATCCAGCTGTGTGCATGAAGCGGGACCTTGATTTTATTGATTTTCCTATCACTACTACACTTAGACAGTGACTCGCTCTTTCCCCCCACCTGGATTTTTGCTTTGTAGCCTCCCTGGCGGTATTCCCGAGTGTAGCTCGGGGTAAAGTTTCAGTACCACAAGCGGTAACCCCGAGCTACACTCGGGAATACCATGCGGCGCTGCTCCGGGATCTGTTCTTCACTTACCTTGTCCTGCGCTCCCGCGATGTCCCTCCTGCAGTGTCCCCGGCAATGTCCTCTGGCGGATGCCGGCATCTGTCATCTGGGTTCCATCCCCTGCGAGCGTCGGGACGTACGGGGGACGGAACGGTGGGAAATTTGAATATGACAAAAAGTGACATTCACTAAATTCACATAGTAAAACATTACTGTATCAAACCATTTCACATACATTTTGTCCCTAGTGCTTTGTCCTGTGCCCTGCCTGCATTTTTACTGTTCTTTCTGCCTGGAAACTGAGAAATGTCCATGGCGTCCAAAAAGCGTCCCTTTAGGTCAAAAGCGGTTTTAGACCACCTAGAGAACAGCGATAGTAAATTAGAACTACTTGCAGAATTGAGTGATGATTCGTGGAGAAATTCATCATCAGACACTGAAAACGATTTTGTGACTTTGCTCAGTGATGTGTGAACTTGGCTCTATATTTCAAATTTCAGTGTTTTTGGTTTGATTATATTATTGAATTAAATTTATTTTTATTAAATTATAATTTATGATTTTTTGTTTCAAATTGTAACATACCCGGGATGTTTACTAGACTCTTGTTCGGACAGATTTCAGTGACTTATTCCTAAAAATTACATGCCTACAATAAAAAGACATATTTCCATGCAAAAAAAGATACTGCTTTGAGCACAGAAATAAGGACATAATCAGACCGCTAGAGATGTTAAATGGTACATGAATCATCTGCCCTTACTCAAGATGACCATTACCAGAAATGCTAGGGTTTCTTTTCAAAGTGAATTTCTCCGCAAAACAAAGCATGGATGGGCGAGTTTGCTTAAAAGTTTAGTTCACATTTTTTGTTTTTTTTCACAGGTAATAAATATATTATTGTTTTGTTGCAGGAGCCTGTAAAGCATTGCAACAGTAATCAGATAGCTGGTACTATGCAGGTCTCCTGCAGACCTGTCAGTACATCTGCTTGCCCGTATGAGCAAGCCGATACAATCTGACAGGAAGACTCAATGAACTACCATGTGCTCCACAACATCGTGGTAGTTCATGGAGATCTACAAGCTGACAGCCGCTAAGGCTGTCGGGACTTGTAGTCTTCTCATTCACAGAGGACTGTGAATGAGTGACAAAGGCAAAGCAGGGGTGATGTTATGTGCTTGAGTGTAACTTTTTTGCAAAAAACAAAATTGTGTAACTTTTTCCCATCTCATAGAGGACACAAAGTGACAGGTCCTCTTTAATGAGACATGCAAGGTTCCCTGAATGTCTACTCTGGGTGTCACTGAATGCATTGCAATGCAGATAACAGCTGTCTGACTGCTTCCACCTGAGTCTGCCTGTCAGTTTTATTTATACACAAACCCAGGCTGCAGCCACTGGATTGAATGTAAAACCCCTGCTGTCAGGTCCGTACAATGTACAGACCTGGCAGTGAAAGGGTTAAGGAAAAGTTCACCTTTGAAAAAAAATGCACAGCATTTCCAGATTAAAAATGAAAAATGTGCATTTATTTTTATTAGGAGCCTGTAAAGCATTGCACCCATGATCAGCAGATCACGGTTTAAGTCCAGGCTCCTGCAAACTACCAGTGTAGCTGTCATCCCATACCTCATATGGGCAGGCAGTTACTAAATGACAGGAAGCATTAATTAACTACCTAGAGCACTCTTCAGCACCCTGGTAGTTCATTGAGAACTATATCGGGGCAGCACAGTGGCTAAATGGTTAGCACTTCCGCCTGGCAGTACTAAGGTTGTTGGTTCAAATCCCAACCACGGCACCACCTGCCTGGAGTTTGCATGTTCTCCCTGTGCCTGCGTGGGTTTCCTCCCACACTCCAAAGACATGCTGGTAGGTTAACTGGCCCTAGTATGCGTATGTATGAATGTAAGTTAGGGACCTTGTGAATGTACAATACGTATGTAAAGCGCTGCGTAAATTGACGGCGCTATACAAGTACCTGTAATAATAAATAAAATAAGCCATCAGCCGCAATGGCTGACAGTAGTTGTAGTTTTTTCCTATTCACAGAGCCCCCCACAGCCACGTTTATTTTGTTTAGTAAATTGTGACAGTAGGTGCGAGGAGAAGATCCCTAGTCCGCTGTCACAACAGGAGCTCGAGGGGGTATGGGGCTGCTCGTTTAGTAACATGTTACACCCTGGCTACGGATGTAACAGGTTATGAAAGCCGTTATCCTTTAAAAAGAATTCTCTGCAGTGGGGCTGCGCCTGCACTGAAAGAGTTAATTTCTAATCTAGGTCTGGGAACTTGTTAAAGATGATTTACTTACCCAGTCTTCTGAAGCATCTTCTCTCCTACACGCCAGCATTCTAAGGTTCTGATGTCATCAAGACCAATGCAGAGTTCAAACCCTGCATTGGATGTGATGATGCCAAAAGACAGTACACCACCAGAGTGTGGGGGAGTGGAGGCTCAGGTTAGTGCTTCTAATCTCCCCTAGAACAAACAAGAAGTCAACCTTCGCAGTCTGGGTGTATCCCTACTGCATGGGATAATTTTAAAAATTTCTTGGAGTTGGGCCTTAACAAAAAATCTGTTTTGCACAAACTATGTACACTGCATTGCTGACCTCTTTACAAAACACTATTTTTGTCTGGTCATCATTTC